TTTTTTATGTAATTGAAAATTAGAACATTCTACTATTTAAATATTTTTAGCTAACCCAAATTCCTTTCATTCTTTGATCTGTCTACTATATTTAAAACTAATTTATAAACAAAAAAATCTCGGCATGTTTTTTTTTTCAAATAAACAAATATTTATTAATAACTAACAATCACAACTTAAGCTTCAGGGGCAACGGGCAAATGAGCACCTTGGGGTTGGAAACCGTTTTCATCAGCAACATAGTTGACGGTGTAGGTTTGACCATCATCAGCAACGAAGGAGAAAGAGCCCTTGACGACGATAGCTTCTTCATCAGTACCAACGTTCTTCAATTGACCTTGAGCTTCAGCTTCAACACCATCGCTGGTGGCATAACTGTAAATTAAAAAAGAAATCAGGAAATTAGTTATGTTGTCTGTTTAAGTATTTTGTGTATAATGTGGTTTTGAAAATTTTTATTGAAATACTTACGAGTATTGGAAGGATTCGGGTCCAACTTCAGATTCGGATCTCAAGACGGTAGCATCTTCTGGGCGGGGAGCGGCCAAAGCAACGGCGAAGAGAGCAGCGAATACAATGATGAATTTCATTTTGATTTGTTTATTTGTTCTTCTAATGTTTCACGTATTGTGTAACGATTCGGAATGATGTTTTGGCCATTTAATTCATGTGCTTTTATATGAGTTTCGATATTTTTGTTTAATATTCAAAAACTATTAAAACATACGTACAACTTTAAGGTAGAAATAAAGTTAAGATGTGTAGTTTTAGTTTTTTTTTTGTTGGTAGAATATAAATTTTTAAACAAATCTAAAGATAATATACATATGTATGTACATATCTATGTATTATATATATGTATGTAAAAAGTGTCAAAATATGTACGTCATAATTATTTTTTTCTTTGTATTATTTCTTCTTTTAGTTTTTAATCTAAAATCTTTTAAGTTCGTTTTGTTTAACTTTTCATCGGCATCATCTTCTTAATGACGTTTGAATTTTTTTTAATAAACCAGATTTAGACTTGACATGTTAATTCTATTTGCTAGCTTATTTTAGCTGGTTCTGTATATCTTTCTGTTGTTGTTGTTGTTTTGCCTTCTAGTTTTGTCAAGCATTTTTAATTTTATTATTAATTAATTATAATATTGGAATAGAACTAAACATATAGCCAGGGTTTTATTTAATACTAAATATTTTGTTAATTATAAAAAATAATATTTAATTTACTATAATGTAAACCCAGCAAACAGTATTTGAAAAAAAAATTATGAACTATTAAATATATAGTTTAAATTTTGATATAATACAGTTTAATTAAAAATTAATTCAATAAATGTGAATTATTTTAAAAATCTGTGAATAATTGCAATCTTATTGTTTGCTGGGAAATTGTATGTGTATGCAGGATAATAACTGTTCTAATAATACAATTTCATCCCAAAGGTCCCGTTGAACAAAAATATTGTTCGAAAATTATTAATATTTTTTCTAATATCACACGTTTTTGATAATATTATTATATTTTTAGAAACATGTTTTTTTGTATAATTTGGCAGTAATTAAAAAAAAAAATTCAAATATTTAAACAATATTACAGTTAAAAGTTTAAAGTTCATTTCAAAGTTATGCATAATATGCATTGCATATTCGCTACGGAAATGGTGTTAAATTTATTAATGCTAATATGTAGGCATCTACATATGTACATACATACATGTATGTATTTAATAAAAAAACAGCAAATAGTTTTTGTTTTTTTTTAGCAAATATTGTTTAAGTCTCGTTTTTTTGAAATACTTTTATTTTCATTAGATGTGTAAACTAATTAATTTTAAATAGTCATTCATATATGCTAATTATAATTCATCAAAAAACAAGTTCTTTTGTTATTAAAAATTTTGAGTTTTTTTTATTTCGATAATTTATGTAAAAAACTAAATGTAAAATGTTAAAGATTGACGTCAATATATAAAATTTAAACGAGAATTTCATAGGACTAAAAGACAAAGAAAAAATTTAAAATTTTAGATTTTAAAACTTTATTTAGAAGTATAATTGTTTCTAATGCAGAGCTGCTATACATGAAATGATTATAATTTTTTTATAATAAGATGATCTTTAAACTATAAATTGAAATACAACCTTCGTTAATATTATTAAGTTTCATCTAACAGGGATCAACAAACGACATTGACATTGTATAAAACTGATTACAATTATTCGGTTTTAATTGTTCTTACAGATGACCTGATTCTTTGTTTTGAGAATGCAAAACCACATTTTAGAAATCTCCCGTTATTGACAGTGGAGCAAAATCGAAATTGTTTGCTATTAAATGTGACATTTCTAAAGAAAATTTGTATTTTCTTAAAAGCTGGATATTTTTACCCCCATTTTCTCAATGTCTTGTTATTTTTTATCGAAATGATATTTTCACAGTTTTCATACAAAAAATATTTTAACCGGCAGAATATCTACCGGTTAAACGATAACGGATAATGAGATTATGGGCCTTAGATTTTTTTGGCTCATAATCGGTCGATTTTCATAACGATCGGACCACATTTGACCCTAGATGTCATACAAAGTTTAATCTCAGAACATTTAAGAAGTTGTAGCCGGCCATATGATATATTTTTCATAATGAAGCATTTAAGTAGAATTTTACCTTGGATTAGGATCAAATGGAACCCGCTCATCATCAACGAGACTTCTATTAAACTTAGTTGTGCAGATTTTTGTCGAGATACTTGTATACATATAATAATAATAAATCCATTCGGTGGGTTCGATAATATGGGGACGAGATGAAATTATCAACCATTGTCAATAGGCTTAAAAATTGCGACCTGCACTTTGGTAACATTGTTTAGATGGATACATAAAAGGACGGACATGGCAATTCAGATGAAACGAAACGATTCTAAGCCGATTCGTATACTGTAAGATCAGCACAAAACCAATATACCCTCCCTACTAAAGAGATGTAGGGTATAAAAACACTTAAACGTCCATAACTCACTTATAAGCAATAACATTATGATAACATTTATATTAGATCCTAGTCCCCATTCAACACTTGTTTTTTTGTGGAAAAATATGTCCCTTTATTAAGTACTCCTATTTTTACAAAATATACACCAGGTCACGAACGATCGTCTTTTGAGAACAAGATCTAATCAAGCTAATTTCGGATAGCGCGTTCTGAAGTAAAGGGTATCTCATGGAGAACGTCGGACCGCTCAAGGTCTGGACTTTAAGGCGGGAGTACAAAACTTCCCTTCATGTAGCTGATCGATATGAATGTGAATATTACGCTTTCATGTCTGGCCATAAGCCTATGATCGCTTCAAACGAATCAGTGGCATTCGTTGAAGGTTATGGTCTTACTATATATCAGTCCAAAAAAAAAACATAGCATTACTTTATGAAAACTTGGATTTAGTATCGATACAGCTAAATTGCTGAGCTTCATATACGTTCTATTACACTTCGGATCCACTCGGTTCAAAAATGATGTCGTTTTTAACAGTGTTCAAGCAGTATTTCCAGGTTTCCTGTCTTCAATAAGTATGGTATCCAATTTCACTGGTTTATAATGAATCCTGATGCTAGCAAACTTTTGGAATTTGTTGCTTTCTATTGCTACTTGACAACAATTTTAAAGGAGTAATGCCTCCAATTCTTGGTCTTCGATCTCCTGCAACAAATCATCTTTTGTAACCGATATGCTTCACAGGCAGTTTTTTACATATTAATGAATTAAAGCAAAACTTTCTGCATGTGACACTTTTGGCATAAAAATTCGAAATTTTCTAAGCTTAAAAGCTTTGTTATTTAAACAATGATGTTTTATAACGAAGTAAAAACTTCTTCTGTTTAAGTGACGTTTTAATTTCGTCTGGTAGATAGTTTTAAATTAAAGACAAAAACATCTAAACAGCTTAAAGGATAGTTATAAAATTTCAACTCCGATTCGAATTCAAAAGAATTTTGCATTTTTTTTTCGTCAAATAAACAAATATTTATTAATAAATAACAATCACAACTTAAGCTTCAGGGGCAACGGGCAAATGAGCACCTTGGGGTTGGAAACCGTTTTCATCAGCAACATAGTTGACGGTGTAGGTTTGACCATCATCAGCAACGAAGGAGTAAGAGCCCTTGACGACAATAGCTTCTTCTTCAGTACCAACATTCTTCAATTGACCTTGAGCTTCAGCTTCAACACCATCGCTAGTAGCATAACTGTAAATTAAAACAAAGATCACGAAATTAGTTGAGCCCTTTTTGATAAATTTAAGACAGTTGAATAATAGTTTCAAAATATTGAAATACTTACGCATATTGGAAGGATTCGGGTCCAACTTCGGATTCGGATTTCAAGACGACGGCATCTTCAGGACGGGGAGCAGCCAAGGCAACGGCGAAGAGGGCAGCGAATACAATGATGAATTTCATTTTGATTTTTTTGTGGTTCTGAACGATTAGAAGCTCTGAAACTGATTGTTAACTAAACGCTTGTCATAGATTAGTTTTTATAGGTTGAATACTGAGTTTAACACTAATTTTCACTCAAATGTGTGTGTAATTCTTATTTGAAACTGCTACATTTCTTGCTTATACAAATAATGACATTTGCTTGAATTTACATAAATACGTATGTTTTTTAATTTATGTGGTCTATTATCAGTGCATAATATTGAGTGCTGGAAATAATTTCTTTATATTTTTTTTTGTAGAGATCATTAGTCTCTTTATTACATTATTTATATTAATATAAAAACTTACTTAAACTTACGCACATTTAAATTTTGTAAAATATTTTTAAGATCAGTGACATTCTCATCTCTCTTCCAACGCAGAATTCCATTAAATGACTATGAAAAATTAACATAAAATTATAACTGAATATTTAAATTAGTTTAAAAAATGATTTTAATCAAAAAATATAACAAATAATATTCGCAACATGAATACGAACGTTTAAGAATAAGATGAGAGATACAAACAACCACAAGTACACATATATTTCTACGTCTATTTGGGCGTGAAAAAATGTATTCGTACAAGTTTTCAACCTATAAAAACTAATAGACGACAGCTTTTAGTTAACACACAGTTTTAGAGCTTCTAGTCGTTCAGAACCAAACAAAAATCAAAATGAAATTCATCATTGTATTCGCTGCCCTCTTCGCCGTTGCCTTGGCTGCTCCCCGTCCTGAAGATGCCGTCGTCTTGAAATCCGAATCCGAAGTTGGACCCGAATCCTTCCAATATGCGTAAGTATTTCGATGTTTTTAAACTATTGCAGAAACTATCCAAAATTTTACATATTTAAAACGGTTTAACTAATCTTTTGATTTTCTTCTAATTTACAGTTATGCTACCAGCGATGGTGTTGAAGCTGAAGCTCAAGGTCAATTGAAGAACGTTGGTACTGATGAAGAAGCTATCGTCGTCAAGGGCTCTTTCTCCTTCGTTGCTGATGATGGTCAAACCTACACCGTCAACTATGTTGCTGATGAAAACGGTTTCCAACCCCAAGGTGCTCATTTGCCCGTTGCCCCTGAAGCTTAAGTTGTGATTGTTATTTATTAATAAATATTTGTTTATTTGACGAAAAAAAAAAGAAAATTGCAAAATTATTTTTTAATCAAATTATAACAGAGAGGAAAATTAATTCAAAGGATTAATCGCCGGTTGTACTTTTAAAATTTGAGTTAAATCGGATTACGAAGACTAATTTGATTCAGAATTTGCGGTTAGACTAGTCTATAGACTATACTATAGACTAGACTATAGAATAGACTATAGACTAGACTATAGTCTAGACTATAGACTAGACTATAGACTAGACTAGTAGACTAGACTATAGACTAGGACTATAGACTAGACTATAGACTAGACTATAGACTAGACTATAGACTAGACTATAGACTAGACTATAGACTAGACTATAGACTAGACTATAGACTAGACTATAGACTAGACTATAGACTAGACTATAGACTAGACTATAGACTAGACTATAGACTAGACTATAGACTATAGACTATAGACTAGACTATAGACTAGACTATAGACTAGACTATAGACTAGACTATAGACTAGACTATAGACTAGACTATAGAGACTAGACGATAGACTAGACTATAGACTAGACTATAGACTAGACTAGAGACTAGACGATGGACTAGACTATAGACTAGATAGACTAGACTATAGACTAGACTATAGACTAGACTATAGACTAGACTATAGACTAGACTATAGACTAGACTATAGACTAGACTATAAACTAGACTATAGACTAGACTATAGACTAGACTATAGACTAGACTATAGACTAGACTATAGACTAGACTATAGACTAGACTATAGACTAGACTATAGACTAGACTATAGACTAGACTATAGACTAGACTATAGACTAGACTATAGACTAGACTATAGACTAGACTATAGACTAGACTATAGACTAGACTATAGACTAGACTATAGACTAGACTATAGACTAGACTATAGACTAGACTATAGACTAGACTATAGACTAGACTATAGACTAGACTATAGACTAGACTATAGACTAGACTATAGACTAGACTATAGACTAGACTATAGACTAGACTATAGACTAGACTAGACTAGACTATAGACTAGACTATAGACTAGACTATAGACTAGACTATAGACTAGACTATAGACTAGACTACAGACTACTATAGACTAGACTATAGACTAGACTATAGACTAGACTATAGACTAGACTAGACTATAGACTAGACTATAGACTAGACTATAGACTAGACTAGACTAGACTATAGACTACAGACTAGACTATAGACTAGACTATATTAGCGCATTATAATGTGCATTTGGGTAATTTTTTAGACCGATATAAAAACTATTCGACATTTTTCACAATCTGAGAACCATTCCAAAAATATTTTTATTTTTTCCTCGGTACACTCGGTACACGTAACACAAACAAAATCTAGATTTAAAGTAAATAACACTTTCTACCTAAATTTACATAAATTTTTATATAAAAATATAAAAAATACATTGACTTTATTTGAATTTGTTCAAAGACTTAGGAATTAAACAGTTAAACTAAGGATTACTTAACCTAGTTAACACAATGATTAAAGCAAGCACACTAATTGGTTACACGTTTAAAGACGTGGCAAATGATCACCTTCTGGTTGGAAACCATTCTCATCAGCAACATAGTTGACGGTATAAGTTTGACCATCATCGCCAATGTAAGAGTAGGAACCACGCACTACCAAAGCTTCGTTTTCAGTACCAATATCTTTTAATTGACCTTCCTCTTGATGAGTTTTGCCATCACTGGTTTCAACACTACAAAAGAAAAAAACAAGTTTGACATTGAAACAATCTCCCCGGCACAAGCACACAAATAAAATAATAAATCCTTGTTGGCCTTGATCAATTGACCCAGTTTAACAGGCAGTAATAAAGAAAGGAAAAGTATGGTTAAAAACCAGTTTATATGCAACTTAACAATTATAAAATCCACTACACACACGCTTAGTAGATACTCACGCAAACTTGTATCCCTCGGGTTGTACATCCGAATCGTAACGTAAAACTTGTACTTCTTGTGCATCCTGTGGTGGAGCAGCCAAAACACAACCGATTAAGGCAATAAACAATACAGCTACGCAGAATTTCATTTTTATTTTTCGATTTTTTAAAATTCGGATAAATTGTTAAAAAGAAATATTTTTGTTTTCTTAGTGGTTGTTAACCGTACAAGTACTCAACAATTAATGTTAACTACAACGTCTCATTATCGGCATTTTATTCATATTTCACGATAAGACTCATTTTCCCTTTATTATGGCTGAATTTGTTGGTGTTTAATAAAGACACAAAAAATAATTGTACATCAATACTTTGATGTTAAGTAAAAAATAATAAAAAAAAAAACATTTATACAAAAAAGAAGTAGATGTACTTCCATACATTGCTTGTATACATATACATATGTACGAGTATTTTACACGTAATTGTGTTTATTTACATTGAATTTGAAATACATACTTACGCACTGACAAAAAAGGGTTTAACCAGACAAACTGATAAACTTGTACCAAAAAATAATAATATTTATGGATGTATGAGCTGCAGAAATTTCATGAAGATATTTATTTTAGATTTGAATTAAAAACAATTTTGGTAATTGTGATCCCTATTTAAACGGCTGGTTTCAACGACGATTCAATTAACAATCGCGCAGATAAAATAAAGTTTTTCTCCAGAAAAGAGCTTCCAACAGAGATTTTTATTGCTTTATAAACATTCCACATATGTAGATCCTATGGGGTGATGCTTACGAGAGTAGGTTGAGAAGCATCCTTAAAATGAGCAAGTCTGAAGTTTATATGAAGGTACGTATTCTGAGTCAAAATGGAAGTGCGGATTCGGACGAATGTAGAGCATGTAGAGAAGACAGTGGAACATCCTCCTATCAACGTAATCTAAACATTTTGTGTGGCTTCTGGTTAGTTAAAGTTCCAGTCTTGTACAACAGAGGTCGTGGGTTCGATTCCCAGATTAGTCTGTAATCTAGACTGTAGAATAGACTATAGACTAGACTGTAGACTAGACTATAGACAAGATTGTAGACTAGACTATAGACTAGACTATAGACTAGACTATAGACTAGACTGTAGACTAGACTATAGACTAGACTATAGACTAGACTATAGACTAGACTATAGACTAGACTAAAGACTAGACTATAGACTAGACTATAGACTAGACTAAAGACTAGACTATAGACTAGACTATAGACTAGACTATAGACTAGACTATAGACTAGACTATAGACTAGACTATAGACTAGACTATAGACTAGACCATAGACTAGACTATAGACTAGACTGTAGACTAGACTGTAGACTAGACTATAGACTAGACTATAGACTAGACTATAGACTAGACTATAGACTAGACTATAGACTAGACTATAGACTAGACTATAGACTAGACTATAGACTAGACTATAGACTAGACTATAGACTAGACTATAGACTAGACTATAGACTAGACTATAGACTAGACTATAGACTAGACTATAGACTAGACTATAGACTAGACTATAGACTAGACTATAGACTAGACTATAGACTAGACTATAGACTAGACTATAGACTAGACTATAGACTAGACTATGACTAGACTATAGACTAGACTATAGACTAGACTATAGACTAGACTATAGACTAGACTATAGACTAGACTATAGACTAGACTATAGACTAGACTATAGACTAGACTATAGACTAGACTATAGACTAGACTATAGACTAGACTATAGACTAGACTATAGACTAGACTATAGACTAGACTATAGACTAGACTAGACCATGTGCTGGACTAGACCATTACTGGACTAGACCATGTGCTGGACTAGGCTATGTGGACTATTTATCAAAAGTTTATAACTTAGAAAAAGTATCGTAAATATCGTGGGGGTACCTTGGTATAAGTTGATATCAAACAGTTCTGAAAAAAAGTACTAAAGTGCTAAATTTTTTATAATTAACAAATAAGACGTACACTTAGGGAGTAGTTTAAATCTAAGCACTTACACCTTACTTGTACAATTAAAAATAAATCACAATACAAAGCCGCATGCAAAAAAAGTTCAAACTAGTTTACTTAAAATATAATTATTTAATCATTCCATTTAAGCAGATAACTCATCAGAATTTAGTAAGTGGATCTCCTTTAAAAATACTAGTTATCGGAAGAGAGATGTTACTGTTAATAAACTAAATATTATTTGTTTACGGTTTTGTTGCTAATGTTTGGCAGCGGTATTTAATTTTTTTCTGCTTTTTTTTAAAGTATGAATGACCCCAAAATCTCAACTTAAAATTTCGTGTATCTATCACAACACCAAAATCTTTATAATGAAATTATTTGATTTTTATATTTTGTTTGTGTGTCAAGTTCAATTTAATTTATATTTAATTAAGGCGTGGTTTTAATGAAATTTTCAAGCATAATTTTATATCAAATTTTTTCTTCTCTTTTTTTCACAAAATAATGCTAAAAATGCAATTTTAGTTTTTCGTTTATAAATAAAAAATCTCCAAAATAGTATTTTAGTAATTGTAGTTTTTGTTATTTAAGCATTTAATTAGCATAATAATTCTCACTTTCAATAATGCTTTCAGTAAGATTTGATTAATCCATTATATTGATTATAGGAGGTGGGAGTAGATAGTTTAGAGCAAATTACGTCTGTAGTGAATTTAGATTATATTCTAAGGAATGTTAAAAAAATTATAAGTTCTGGCACTTATATGTGTGTAAACACTGATGTTATGCATTGATTACTTCTTACTAGTTACCATACTGTCTTTTGGTAATCTATGGATCTCCTCATGTATGATTTTTAAAAATTTTAAATTTGCTTAAAGTTTAGTTGATTTGAAAAAAGTTGTGCGCTGAAAGGATTTTATTATTTTATTTAGTAAATAATTAATTCATATTTAATAAGTTGACCCTCGTAAAAACATGTTATTTTTAAAACATCATTGGTTTTCATCATCATCTTTTTTTCCTGTTTGGTTATTTTAGTTAAATGATCGTTATTTTTTTTCAAAAATTTTTTATTTAATTTCAAGTTTCCTGACTAACTGACTGCCATTGAAGAAGCGCCTTTATGCCATGAATATAACAAGCAAAAATTAAAATAAAAAAATTTTAATTTAATAAAAAAACAGCAAAAAAAACTTCCAAAAATAAAATACAAAACAAGTATTTAGAATTTCAAGTTTCACGTGCTCAACTAATGATCAACAAAAAAAAAAATATATATTAAATTAAATATGTTTAAATATCAAAAAAACTAAAAACTTGTCTTAGAAGTTGTCTTAAATGTTTTATTTAAATTTAAGAAAAATAAAGAATATTTTTGATATCAAAACAAAGAAGAAGGAATTTGTTATGCACGTGTTTGTATGTTGGTTAAAATATGTAAATAAATATTTAAAAAACTATAATTAAAAAACAGTGCTACAATAAAAATATTCCCTAAATTTTGTTTTAGGGGTATTTATTTATAATTATAATAATAAACAAAATCAACACTTAAAAAACAATTAAAATTTCCCAGCAAAAACTTAGATTGAAGAGTTATTACTCTATAGACTAGACTATAGACTAGACTATAGACTAGACTATAGACTAGACTATAGACTAGACTATAGACTAGACTATAGACTAGACTATAGTAGACTATAGACTAGACTATAGACTAGACTATAGACTAGACTATAGACTAGACTATAGACTAGACTATAGACTAGACTATAGACTAGACTATAGACTAGACTATAGACTAGACTATAGACTAGACTATAGACTAGACTATAGACTAGACTATAGACTAGACTATACTATATACTAGACTATAGACTAGACTATAGACTAGACTATAGACTAGACTATAGACTAGACTATAGACTAGACTAGACTATAGACTAGACTATAGACTAGACTATAGACTAGACTATAGACTAGACTATAGACTAGACTATAGACTAGACTATAGACTAGACTATAGACTAGACTATAGACTAGACTATAGACTAGACTATAGACTAGACTATAGACTAGACTATAGACTAGACTATAGACTAGACTATAGACTAGACTATAGACTAGACTATAGACTAGACTATAGACTAGACTATAGACTAGACTATAGGAACTAGACTATAGACTAGACGATAGACTAGACTATAGACTAGACTATGACTAGACTATAGACTAGACTATAGACTAGACTATAGACTAGACTATAGACTAGACTTAGACTAGACTATAGACTAGACTATAGACTAGACTATAGACTAGACTATAGACTAGACTATAGACTAGACTATAGACTAGACTATAGACTAGACTATAGACTAGAACTATAGACTAGACTATAGACTAGACTATAGACTAGACTATAGACTAGACTATAGACTAGACTATAGACTAGACTATAGACTAGACTATAGACTAGACTATAGACGAGACTATAGACTAGACTATAGAACTAGACTATAGACTAGACTATAGACTAGACTATAGACTGAGACTATAGACATAGACTAATATATACTAGACTATAGACTAGACTATAGACTAGGACATAGATAGACTAGACTAGACTATAGACTAGACTAGAACTATAGACTAGACTAGACATAGACTAGACTATAGACTAGACTATAGACTAGACTATAGACTAGACTATAGACTAGACTATAGACTAGACTATAGACTAGACTATAGACTAGACTATAGACTTGACTATAGACTAGACTATACTAGACTATAGACTAACTATAGACTAGACTATAGACTAGACTATAGACTAGACTATAGACTAGACTATAGACTAGACTATAGACTAGACCTATAGACTACACTATAGACTAGACTATAGACTAGACTATAGACTAAACTATAGACTACACTATAGACTACGACTATAGACTAGACTATAGACTAGACTATAGACTAGACTATAGACTACACTATAGACTAGCACTATAGACTAGACTATAGACTAGACTATAGACTACACTATAGACTACACTATAGACTAGACTATAGACTAGACTATAGACTAGACTATAGACTAGACTATAGACTAACTATAGACTAGACTATAGACTAGACTATAGACTAGACTATAGACTAGACTATAGACTAGACTATAGACTAGACTATAGACTAGACTATAGACTAGACTATAGACTAGACTATAGACTAGACTATAGACTAGACTATAGACTAGACTATAGACTAGACTATAGACTAGACTATAGACTAGACTATAGACTAGACTATAGACTAGACTATAGACTAGACTATAGACTAGACTATAGACTAGACTATAGACTAGACTATAGACTAGACTATAGACTAGACTATAGACTAGACTATAGACTAGACTAGACTAGACTATAGACTACTAGACTAGACCATAGACTAGACTATAGACTAGACTATAGACTAGACTATAGACTAGACTATAGACTAGACTAGAAAGTCATTTGTCTATGATTGTAAGTAAGTTGCTTAAAAGTAATGCAGAGTTTTTGCTGGTTTATTTGTATAAACTCAGCTAATATTATTAAGAATATTATAATATTCAAAATCATTCGTTGGTTATACTTCCCCACTTATAATCAATTTAGCTGCAGTTACCGCACTGACATTTATTAACTTATGCATGTATTTGATTTAAATGTTTCCCAAATTGGATCATTATACCGGTTAGAATATAACATTTCACTTCATTTATTTGAAGTGCAGTCAACATTCTAAATTGACTGACTGTTATTATTTGAAAAAAACAAACTTTCTTGCTTCATTTAACGGTCATTATTATTCAAGGAAAGAAGCTAAAATTTATTCTGTTGGCAAAATACAAATGAAAAAATAGAAGCCGCAAAAAAGTGATAAGAATTTTGTATAAAACTGGTCTAATTAAGTGGATACAACAACTATCGGTTGCTAGATTCGTGGTACTTTTTTTTACGTATGCTAAAGAAAAATTCTTTCTTACGGCTTACGTCGTCAGTCTTACGATTTACGCAAGTGGTAGATAGTGTGTTGTTTTTGTCTATAAAAACCCTTAAGCACGTCATTTAAAACCATAATAAAATAAAATCCATAGTTTTGTTTGAAAAAAAAAGTTTTAAAGAAATAAGAAACAAATAAAAAGTATATTTAATACACCATTACCGATTATTGTTCCTTACTTCTATTTTAAACCAAGAAGTACAACATTCATTTTGTGTTCAATTTAAACTGTTAGAATTATGAGATTCTTTAATAAAACTATTGGCATAATTCTAACATGTTTAAATCTCATAATATTGCACCTTGCTGGCTGTACGGCCGCACCACTAGACACAGTGGAGTCAACAAAAAGCCAACAGCAACCAACTGCCGATATGGTGAATACACTTAAATATGAGAATTCCAATATTGGTATTGATGGTTATGATTTTGCGTAAGTTTTTTTTTTCTCTTTTTTTTATTAAAATCATAAAATTATTATTTAACTTTTATTTAACTAAAGTTTTGAAACAAGCGATGGTGTGTTGCGTAAGGAAACGGCCACTGTTAAGAATATCGGCACTCAGGATGAGGCTATTTCTGTGGAGGGTACCGTTAGTTGGGTTGGTCCCGATGGTGTTCAGTATACTTTGAATTATTTGGCCGATGAAAATGGTTTCCAACCCGAGGGTAAACATTTACCGGTTGGTCCCGAAAGTTAATTTAGTAAAATGTTATTTGTTAATATTATATTATTTGTTACGTATTGAATTATCTGTGAATTTCTAGTCTGTATTATGTTGTTATGTTGAACGAAATATAAAGAAAATATTTTTGTAAAGAATTTTTCGTAATGGACTTATTTTAAAATAATAGATTCTCGAATGATTATTTTTGTAATACCCTGCAAAAGTTGAGACTACTTCTAATACGCGTGAAAAGATTATTTCTCAAAAAACATACGGGTTTCAACATTGAGATGCCCTAGCGTTTTGCATTAATCGAAACAAATAGTAGTCAGACGGGGTATGATCTGAACTTTGTAAAGATCGCCTAAATAGTTTTCAAAATGTGGTCGAACGTGACCTAGCGTTCTGCATTAATCGATACAAATAGTAGTCAGACGGGATATGATCTGAACTTTGTAAAGATCGCCTAAATAGTTTTCAAAATGTGGTCGAGCGTGACCTTGATAAAATATTACAGGTCTGGTCGCCTATTTCCAGAGTTAATCGTCTTATTCTCATATTCTACGAAGTAATCCCAAAACTATTGGAGTCCACAACATGGACCTACATATGTAATGCTGGGTATGAACAATGTTGATTCCAAAAAACTAAAGGTAATCCATGTCTGCATTACAAAGGATTACTAAACGGATCATGTACTCTAATAATGTTTACAGGGGAATAGTTTTGGGATTACTTCTTAGAATATGAGAATAGGATGATAAACGCTAGAAATAGGCGACCAGACAACTACTCGTAATATTTCATCCAGAGCAAGCTCGACCACATTTTGAAAACTATTTAGACGATCTTTATAAAGTTCAGATCCTACCCGTCTAACTACTATTTGTTTCGATTAATGCAGAACGCTCGGTACCACCGTAAAGTAGTTAGCAGTGCTGTAGTTTGTACCAAGATCATGGGTTCAATTCCTACCATAGACTATGTAAAAGAAGTACACAACAAGGCCAATAGCAACATCCTTCATCAACCTTACTTACTAATATTGAACAGAATATATGGAAATGGTTTGATTAGTTCTTGTTCTTAAAAATGTGTGGGTAATTGGATCTTTATTACTAGACGCGATAGTTTTATGGGAGTCCTATCAGGGAATCGTAGAGATATAATCTACTACTGGGAATAAGAAAAAACTGAAATTTAATAACTTAATTAAATTATTGTGTTACACCTTTCTCTAATTTCAAAAATAGAAAGTAAGTATATGAATATATAAAAATATTACCCGAAAAATTCATGCATGATTGATGTTTGAACTCTATACTTTGCCGTTAACCAATTTACAATAAAATACCACCCTAATTCAAAAATACATGCACATCATAAATTACATAAAACCTAATAATACAATATAATTCAATCTGATTTCAACAAGCAGCTATGATAAATGATGTTTATGCCACCACCTCTGAAGCAAAAAAAAAAAAAAAAAAAAACAACCTAGAGGTGTTTAAACAATAAATGATAAATAAAAGAGTAAAAACAAACAAAAAAATTAAAATAAAATTGGCAAAAATTGCATAATCGCCAACTACAAATTGCCACCTACAAAACTGAAGTACAAACAAATTAACAACACACTTAAAGAAACGCACTTACAGACAGACGGACGGACGCACGTTAGTTTCTAAAGTATCTATTGTATTAGTTGTGTTTATTTCTGAAATTTAAAAATATAATAATACAACCAATAAATCATTAGTTGAAATACTTCAAAAACCAAAAAAAAAAAAACGTCAAATCACAAAAATAATAAAAACAAAAATCTCAAAAATTTTGTCTGTTAATCATGTCTGATGTATGACTTGAATGACCGAGAAAACTTCCCTATAAAACTATGACGAATGATAAAATAAATTATTAGGTATTAGTAAATAGATGAAAATAGCCCTGCAGTGTTAATGGTATTAGGGACTTTAAGTAAAAAGAATGTAATTCAACGAGTATCTATTAAATCCCTTTACATTTACTTTTCCCTTTTGGCATCGTTGTTAATAAAGATCCCAAAAAAGCTGTCTGTGACTATAACTCCCTAACAACGGCCATTATTCACTATAAATTTCACTACTCCCTCGCTATGCAAAAACTGTTAATACATGCTCTTGTCATGGTAACTATCGACTGTCAAGATCTTAGAAATTTGCGTATGGGTTGGCTCCCAGTACTGCAGGGGTATATTTAACATAATTAAGGCATGTAAATAAACATGCTTAAACATAAACACAAGCTTATAATAAGCAACAAAATAAATAAAATTATTTTTAAATACAATACTATTAGTAGTACTGATTTAACTATACATTAAAATACTACACATATATATTTACGATTAGCTTAAAGGCTAAAATAACTTTATTGGATTAATAGAGTAAAAACGATTATAATCTGTACCCTGTTCAAGTTTTTAATAAAACATAATACTCATACTCATGTTACGTTTTCCACTTTAGGAAGTACCCAATAGTTCGAAAAAGAGTCAATAGACGTCATACAATAACACAAAAAGAAAAATAAAAGAAATAACTGCCCAAATCTGGGGATTTTATCCTAGCTATAGCATTTTTTGTTGGGAACGCCTATTTTTTGAATGGGAGGAGCTCCAAAGGTTAATAAATTACAGTTTAATCGCTTAATAAAGATTTCCTAAATAGCTGCAAAGACTATCTTCTCTAAATATGTCCAAAACGGTTTCCTTTTGCAACAGTCGACCTTGACCGGGCGCTCTTTAGAATAAATTCACAGCAAAGCAGGTATTCGATATAATCCAGAGAAAGCAATACTTGCGAAAAGTGAATTAAATCTGCAAATTTCTTTATTATTGCTTTCTGATCATTTTTGGGGAGTTATTTCATGACGCCGAGTCAATAAACAAGCAAGAGACAGTTATTTCCTATAATGTCTAACCACTTATTTGACACTTCGGTTATTCATCACCAATGTACCCTTCGTAATCGAGTACGAAGAAAGTTATCACTTTACTGTACCGTTTTGCTGCAGCCGACCTTAGAATGAATTCATAGCAAAGCCGGTATTCGATATTACCCAGAGATAAAAACACTTTCGTCGGGATATAGGCCGGCTTTCCAAAATATTTCATAAACATATGACTCCCCATTTTATATGTGAAATAATGCCCAAAAAAGTAAATTAAATTCGCAAATTTCTTTATTATTGCTTTCTGATAATTTTTTGGGGAGTTATTTCATGACGCCGAGTCAATAAACACGCAAGAGACAGTCATTTCCTGTAATGTCTAACTACTTAGTTGACACTTCTGTTATTCATCACCAATTTACCCTTCGTAATCGAGTACGAAGAAAATTATCACTTTACTGTACCCTAGGTAAACGAGTGCGAAGACAGTTGTTACTTTATTGTATCCTACGTAAACTAGAGATGGTGTCGATGGTAACCGATAAATGCTTTTTTCAATGTATATTATTTCTTAAAAAGGAGGATCTTTGTATAGAAAGTAATCAAAATATCTCTTTCCTTTGAAATAAGGATGTGATCTAACATTAAGTTTTCAGTTCATTACTGATATTTTTGTATGTATCTAGGTCCCATGGGATACTACGTAAAGCAATGTACGATCCAAGTATTAATGGCGTTCATGGATTAGACAAAAGGATTACAACTAGAATATAATAAGCGGCACTGTTAGTGATTAATCCCATTATTTCACTAATTAGCCATTCAAATACTCGGTGCTGCAGAACCTGTATCCTGGTACTAAACATGTTAACCTCATAAATTGAAACAATTTTATTCAGAAACTAAGTGCCTCACTAAAAATTGTAGGGTATTATAGAATATACACATAAACATTTAAACAATTTATTAACATCCCAACTACCTTCCGCAGCAGCAGCCTCTAAATAGTGTTGGAGTAACAACATCACAGTCAGTAGAATACCGAATTTTTTTCTCTGTGTGTATATTTGTATTTCTAATAAAACTTAATAAAATTATGATTGATTTATGTATTATGTTTATACAGGTATGTCTAGATTATGTTAAAAATAAAAATAATGCATTATGGTGTTGTTGGTTGTTGTTGTTATTTGTTATTATTATCTATTTGTAGATATTGTAGTTTTATTGTGTAAGGTCATCAACACATTAAACACAAGTTTTTTTTAATTTTGTCTTAAGTGTGAGAAATTCGATTTTTTTTATTTATTTCTGAAATATGTAGATGATCGTTTTATTTTTACGCATTTAAATAAAATTTCGATTTTTTTAGAATTTTATTTTTTTTGTGCAATGTATAAATGAGTTGTTTTTTGTTGTTATTATTTGTATTTGAGAATTTAATTGGAATTTTTTTGTTAATATTTAAAGGTCGCAAAAAGTTGTTTGAAATTTAGCAGTGACATTTGTGGTTTATATATTTTTTTCTTCTCACAATTGTCAACGAAATATTCAAGGTTATTGCAATTTAACATTGAAATTTTTGCATTTTTTTAAAACCTCACCTATATACAAAAATACAATGTATGCGTTACTCATTTCCTTTATTCTCTAGAATCAAAAGTTTAAAGGTAAGACGAAGTTAGATTTAAAGATGATGAGCTTAAAGAGTTCGATGAAGCTTATAAATGGCTCGTTTTATTTTCTACAGGAAAGGGATATGAATGTAGTAAAGTTATGGAGACTGCATAAGTTATGTATTAGAAATTCTTATGGTTTGAAAGTGATTTCCGGCAGTGTAAAGCCTTAAGTAATTTGATAATCTATGTTTAAGGGCTGGCAAAATATTTTAAGGATACCATAAGAATGACGAAGGTCGGCATGGCCGATCATATCATACCCTACACCAGTGATTATGTTAAAAATTAGGATTAGTTTTTACCTTAAATCAGAAATATTTTGACAATTTTTGGACAAAGAAAGAGATGTTTTCCATGCTTATAACTAACTAACTAACTAACTAACTAACTAACTAACTACTAACTAACTAACTAACTAACTAACTAACTAACTAACTAACTAACTAACTAACTACTAACTAACTAACTAACTAACTAACTAACTAACTAACTAACTAACTAACTAACTAACTACTAACTAACTAACTAACTAACTAACTAACTAACTAACTACTACTAACTAACTAACTAACTAACTAACTAACTAACTAACTAACTAACTAACTAACTAACTAACTAACTAACTAACTAACTACTAACTAACTAACTACTAACTAACTAACTAACTAACTAACTAACTAACTAACTAACTAACTAACTAACTAACTAACTAACTACTAACTAACTAACTAACTACTAACTAACTAACTAACTAACTAACTAACTAACTAACTAACTAACTAACTAACTAACTAACTAACTACTAACTAACTAACTAACTAACTAACTACTAACTAACTAACTAACTAACTAACTAACTAACTAACTAACTAACTAACTAACTAACTACTAACTAACTAACTAACTAACTAACTAACTACTAACTAACTAACTAACTAACTAACTAACTAACTAACTAACTAACTAACTAACTAACTAACTAACTAACTAACTAACTAACTAACTAACTAACTAACTAACTAACTAACTAACTAACTAACTAACTAACTAACTAACTAACTAACTAACTAACTAACTAACTAACTAACTAACTAACTAACTAACTAACTAACTAACTACTAACTAACTAACTAACTAACTAACTAACTAACTAACTAACTAACTAACTAACTAACTAACTAACTAACTAACTAACTAACTAACTAACTAACTAACTAACTAACTAACTAACTAACTAACTAACTAACTAACTAACTAACTAACTAACTAACTAACTAACTAACTAACTAACTAACTAACTAACTAACTAACTAACTAACTAACTAACTAACTAACTAACTAACTAACTAACTAACTAACTAACTACTAACTAACTAACTAACTAACTAACTACTAACTAACTAACTAACTACTAACTAACTAACTAACTAACTAACTAACTAACTAACTAACTAACTAACTAACTAACTAACTAACTAACTAACTAACTAACTAACTAACTACTAACTACTAACTAACTAACTAACTAACTAACTACTAACTAACTAACTAACTAACTAACTAACTAACTAACTAACTAACTAACTAACTAACTAACTACTAACTAACTAACTAACTACTAACTAACTAACTAACTAACTAACTAACTAACTAACTAACTAACTAACTAACTAACTAACTAACTACTAACTAACTAACTAACTAACTAACTAACTAACTAACTAACTAACTAACTAACTAACTAACTAACTACTAACTAACTAACTAACTAACTAACTAACTAACTAACTAACTAACTAACTAACTAACTAACTAACTAACTAACTAACTAACTAACTAACTAACTAACTAACTAACTAACTAACTAACTAACTAACTAACTAACTAACTAACTACTAACTACTAACTAACTGACTGACTAACTATGTAACTAACGAACTAACTAACTAAGGATTCGCCTCAGATAGTAATTCTGAGTTAATTACTTCATACCTTAAGACAGGCGAGGATCCAGCTTAAACTTTTGGTAAATTTTGTTTTTTTACTTGTATTATTTTTTCTTATTTTGTATGAAAAAATTTCGGTATTAGGGGGGTAGTTTCTCTATTCCAACCGTGGATCCGCGACTGCCTTAAGATGAGTGTAGGTCCAATATTTTTGGGTATTACAGACATCTGCACAAACGCATATTACCATCCCCATTATAGTGGTGTAGGGTGTAAAAGGGTATTTAGAATTTCTGAACCACTGTGGGACAAATAGTGGACATCGCTAAATCGGTCCTAAAGTTAAGCTTAGCACATCGAAGGATTAGGGTCGTTCAATGAATTGTTTCCAGCTAAAAACATAATTTTGAAAAAATTTGTTTTATCGAAATTTTAAAAATTTACTTAAGGAATAAAGGGACATTTTTCAAATAATAAGTCCATCAATTTCCATAATTTCTACTTCAAATTATTTGGTTTTCGATAAGTAAACACTAATAATTCTTGAAGTTTAAAAAAATTTAATTTAAAAAGTTTTAAAACCTGTAACACAGAGCGTCAATAAATAATTGCAACTAAAATTATAAACCAACCGTATATATAGTTTTAAAAACGATTAATGACATAAGTCAACCAACACATGACATATGTAATTATAAACTGTCTCAAGTGGAGGAGAAGCAGAAGACCTTTATTTTTTTTTCTTTACCTGGATTTAAAACGACCTTTGTATGATTTTAAAAAAAGTTGTGGTAGTAAAATCACCTAGAGGTGACATAATCTTATAAACAGTTTGCAAAAGGTTTGGTTAAAACTTTTAATTTTTATTTTATTTCTTGGTATGATGATTTTTTTTGTATTATCGGTCATAAGCTGAAGATGATCTTGATTAAGATTAAAAAATTTTGGGGTGCAGTCGTTAAAGATGGCCACAGGCGAGTATGGAATGGAATGTTGTTGTCGTTAACATTATATCACCGGAAAAAAATATTGAATTCATAAAAAAAACTTGTACTCTTATTAAATAAGTTTCAGCTACTGGTACAAATTTGTAAATTTTTGTATGTTTTTTATTAATAAATCATTAAAATATCATTTTATTTATTACTTTGAAAATAATAATTACTTCAAAGAAAGCCGTTAATTGTATTTGTTTTCAACACCCTGTCAACGTACGTACATGCAATTAAAGATTTTAATTAATTTGTAATTAATAAATATTAAATTTTTTTACAATATTTTATAAATTTTAGATTAAACATTTGTTTTTTTTGTGGAGGCTGTTATTGTTTTTTTTTTTTTTTTTGTTGCTGATTTAATTGTGGGTTCATTTCGAAGAATTTCAGCAGGAGTTTAAAACATTGCTACATTGTTATCGATTTTTTTTAACTTTTTTACGACTATGATATTATTTTTAAAGATGAGGACATTGTTAAATTTAAGTGTTAATAAAAATAAATAATATTTTATTTTTGTTCAATTTAAAGAAATTTTTGACTATATAAACATGTTGTTGCAACTTTGGAAATCAGTCAAGTTTAAACATCTTGCATTCATATAACAAATTTAAGGATTTCTACTAAATTTCTTTTAAACATGAAATATCAATTGATAGTATTGGCCTGTTTAATTGCTGTGGTTTTGTCAGCTCCTCAGCATTCGGCTTCTCAGAATCCTGCTCCTCAGCAGGATGATACCCATGCCGAAACTTTACGCTTGGAAACAGAAAATAATGGTGTTGATAAATACAATTTTGCGTAAGTTGTTAAATGATTTTGCTATTTTCTTTAATTAATAAATTTCTGGATTTTTTAAAAATTAGTTATGAAACCAGCAATGGCATTGTTCGCTCTGAGGAAGGAGAACTGAAGACTACGGAGGATGGTGCTGCTATTATTGTTCATGGCACCACTTCTTGGACTGCTCCAGATGGCAAGAGATACGAAATGACTTTTACTGCCGATGAATTGGGTTATCATCCCACTTTCAAACTAGTCGCTTAATTTTGTTTGTTTGATATTTTTTGTTAAAATCAATTTAATTTTTTAGTAGCCTACAGTTGTGTTCAATTTGTTAATAGTTTATTTTTGTTTAAATAGTTTGTTTTCTTATTAATTTCAATTTTGCTTTAATACTCAATTTAACTTTAATAAATAAAGGTTTTAGAAGAAAATATTTTGTTTAATATCTTTGATCCAATCCTTCTTTTGGTCAAAAGTATCTTTCGACTAATTTTTGATCTATTAACTCAGTCTTTTCATTAGTCAATGTCTATGGACTAGTCTTTTCAATGGGATAGTCTATAGACTATAGTTCATACATGGACTTCTCTATGCAGTTGTTTATGGACTATTCTAAGGGCTAATCTGTTGACTAGATAACTGACTAGACTATTAACTAGTATGATAACTGGTAGATGGATTTAAATATGGATACGTCTATTATGCAGTACCTAAATAGATTCGTCTATTGATTAGTCCATGGAGCATGAACTATTCAATGGACAGGTCTATTCTATGGACTTTGTTATGGACTTATATACACAGAGGGAAAAGGAAATATACAACGCAACGTTGTCAACATTGCAACAATTCGTTGTCGAATCTAAAGTTTATACACATCCGATGTCTAAATGTTAACAAACGTGGTAAGCTCACTGTTGGCAACAGATTGTTTGTCTAAAGTGAGCTTACCATGTTTGTTAACATTTAGACAACGGATGTGTATAAAATTTAGATTTCGACAATAAATTGTTGCAATGTTGTCAACGTTGCGTTGTATATTTCCTTTTCCCTCTGTGTATATAAGTCCATAACAAAGTCCATAGAATAGACCTGTCCATTGAATAGTGTCAATTTGGTAGCAGGCGTGTATATTTCTTTTCCCTCTGTGTATGGATATCTCTATGGACCATTCTACAATCTATTGACAAGTTCGATGGATTAATCAATTGTCCAGTTAATATATTAATGTATGTAGTTTTCAGTCTTCTGAATAGTGTTTGATCTAGTCTATTGACTTTTCTAGTCAATAAACTAGTCTATGGATTAAACTTTGTCCAGTCTATGGAATAATCTATTGACTATTCGATGGATTGAAAGGATTAGTCTATTCTATAGTATATTGATTTGTCTATCGATTAATCCATTGACGAGTCTATGGATTACTCTATTCTCCAGATTATGGACTGATCTATTGAGTAGAATTTATGTATAGTTCAGTCTCTGGATTACACTAGTCTAATGAATAGTCGATGGACTAGTCTCTGAACTACTCTGTGGACTAGTCTATTGGCTAGTCTATACATTAAACTTCCAGTTCACCGTCTAATATATCGACTAGTCCATAGAATAGTTGACCAGTATAAGGACTAGTCTGTGAACTAGTCTATTTATTATGCTATGGCCTAGTCGATTGATTGATCTATTGACTACTCGATGTTCTAGTCGATTGATTACTCTGTTGACTACACCTTATGGAATAATTTCCAAAATGATTGTTTTTGAAAAAAGTACATTTAAAATTCAACAAATAAAGATAACAATTTTATTTTTGAATATAAATTTAAAATTAATTCATACATCAAAATCTTGATTTTTTTTAATGGAACATATTTCTCAACCACCATAAAATTCAACAATTCTCTTAAATTCTAACAACTTGTATAAACATACGATTTCAGACATGGCAACAGTAAAACATTTAGAAAATATATTTTAATCGCAGCTTAAAATAATATGGAACAACATTGAACAACGGAAATCAAGTTAAAGTGACAATGATCCGCATCATCACTACATAGCAGCCGAAAATAAAACTGACCCTTAAAATATACATTCGATATTGTTTAATTTATTTAAAAATAGATTTGTTTAAAGTTGAAATCGAAATTTCTTTTAAATACATTTTAACTAGTAGAGTTACTTAAGTGCAAAGACCTCCGAAAGTTCTCTAACAAGTTGCGTCATACAAAAACTTAATTAATTTGCATAAATTATTTAGTTCATTTAAATTCTTTTATATAATATTTTATAAATAAATAAAATACATGAAATTTAATACTAATTCATGTAAAATAAAAACAAAATTTTTGAAAATTAGCCAGAATTTAATGAGACGTTTTAAATGTTCAAAAAAAAAACTTAAGAAGTTATTAGAGAAGAAAATAACAACTAAACGTTTTTGAACTTTAAAACGAAATATAAACTTGTTTTTTGAATAAACATAAAAAACGTTTGTGCAAATGTATACGTTCAAAGACGAGACTTGAAATTTATAGTTTTATTTTTTTGCTAAATTTTATGGTTTCTCAGAATTTTAACAAAAAGAAGAGATTTTTTTAATTGATTTATACATAGTTTTGCTGCGATAAAATTTGGCTAATGATTTTGCAAAATGTGGGAAGAAAAAAATAAACAATGACATAAATCGAAATACATATTGAATGGACCAATTGATTTTAATTAATTCTAACTAAAATTTGTATTTAAAAATATTTTACTTTAATCATTTGAATTAGAAAAGTTTATGGGAAAAAACTTAGTTGATTTTTACACAAATTACAGTGGCTTTATAGTGGATTCGGCCTAAATCAGTGGTTGGCTCAAAGAGAATGAAAAAAAACGCAGTTTCATTGCAGGACATGTTCCCGAATTTATTAGTGCTGGTGTATAAGCCTTAAGTTCTAGTTCAGTTCTGGTTCAGTTCTAGTTCAGTTCTAGTTCAGTTCTAGTTCAGTTCTAGTTCAGTTCTAGTTCAGTTCTAGTTCAGTTCTAGTTCAGTTCTAGTTCAGTTCTAGTTCAGTTCTAGTTCAGTTCTAGTTCAGTTCTAGTTCAGTTCTAGTTCAGTTCTAGTTCAGTTCTAGTTCAGTTCTAGTTCAGTTCTAGTTCAGTTCTAGTTCAGTTCTAGTTCAGTTCTAGTTCAGTTCTAGTTCAGTTCAGTTCTGGTTCAGTTCTAGTTCAGTTCTAGTTCAGTTCTAGTTCAGTTCTAGTTCAGTTCTAGTTCAGTTCTAGTTCAGTTCTAGTTCAGTTCTAGTTCAGTTCTAGTTCAGTTTCTAGTTCAGTTCTAGTTCAGTTTCTAGTTCAGTTTCTAGTTCAGTTCTAGTTCAGTTCTAGTCAGTTCAGTCTAGTTCAGTTCTAGTTCAGTTCTAGTTCAGTTCTAGTTCAGTTCTAGTTCAGTTCTAGTTCAGTTCTAGTTCAGTTCTAGTTCAGTTCTAGTTCAGTTCTAGTTCAGTTCTAGTTCAGTTCTAGTTCAGTTCTAGTTCAGGAAGTGTCTAGTTCATGTTCTAGTTCAGTTCTAGTTTCAGTTCTAGTTCAGTTCCTGTTCATTCTAGTTCAGTTCTAGTTCATTTCTAGTTCTAGTTCAGTTCTAGTTCAGTTTCTAGTTCAGTTCTAGTTCAGTTCTAGTTCAGTTCTAGTTCATTCTAGTTCAGTCCTAGTTCAGTTCTAGTTCAGTTCTAGTTCAGTTCTAGTTCAGTTCTAGTTCAGTTCTAGTTCAGTTCTAGTTCAGTTCTAGTTCAGTTCTAGTTCAGTTCTAGTTCAGTTCTAGTTCAGTTCTAGTTCAGTTCTAGTTCAGTTCTAGTTCAGTTCTAGTTCAGTTCTAGTTCAGTTCTAGTTCAGTTCTAGTTCAGTTCTAGTTCAGTTCTAGTTCAGTTCTAGTTCAGTTCTAGTTCAGTTCTAGTTCAGTTCTAGTTCAGTTCTAGTTCAGTTCTAGTCAGTTCTAGTTCAGTTCTAGTTCAGTTCTAGTTCAGTTCTAGTTCAGTTCTAGTTCAGTTCTAGTTCAGTTCTAGTTCAGTTCTAGTTCAGTTCTAGTTCAGTTCTAGTTCAGTTCTAGTTCAGTTCTAGTTCAGTTCTAGTTCAGTTCTAGTTCAGTTCTAGTTCAGTTCTAGTTCAGTTCTAGTTCAGTTCTAGTTCAGTTCTAGTTCAGTTCTAGTTCAGTTCTAGTTCAGTTCTAGTTCAGTTCTAGTTCAGTTCTAGTTCAGTTCTAGTTCAGTTCTAGTTCAGTTCTAGTTCAGTTCAGTTCTAGTTCAGTTCTAGTTCAGTTCTAGTTCAGTTCTAGTTCAGTTCTAGTTCAGTTCTAGTTCAGTTCTAGTTCAGTTCTAGTTCAGTTCTAGTTCAGTTCTAGTTCAGTTCTAGTTCAGTTCTAGTTCAGTTCTAGTTCAGTTCTAGTTCAGTTCTAGTTCAGTTCTAGTTCAGTTCTAGTTCAGTTCTAGTTCAGTTCTAGTTCAGTTCTAGTTCAGTTCTAGTTCAGTTCTAGTTCAGTTCTAGTTCAGTTCTAGTTCAGTTCTAGTTCAGTTCTAGTTCAGTTCTAGTTCAGTTCTAGTTCAGTTCTAGTTCAGTTCTAGTTCAGTTCTAGTTCAGTTCTAGTTCAGTTCTAGTATAGTTCTAGTTCACTTCTAGTTCACTTCCAGCTCAGCTTTAGTTGAGTTCAATAAAACTGATTTTTAAAAGGCAATTTCATTAGATTGTTTCTTTTTAGTCAAAATTATAGCACAGGTTAAATAAACGTACTGTTCGTCTACTTAACCCGGCCTTTAACGCCAAACACTAAAAGTGCACTTAAATATAAGCTCATAAAGAACAATATTAAATAACAAAATAAACATTTAAAATAATACTTTTTTAAAGTACTTGAATGCTTTGCATGTCAAATAGACTAACTTCCCACATAAGTAATTTATTTTTCATTTTATACATATTTTTTAAAAATAAAACTGCTCTTAAAATCACGAAATTTTGGTTATAATATTCTCAAATAAGAATGAATAAATGTGCAATTAATCTATTTAGCAAATAAAACCTTCTCAGACACATAAATGGTTTTTAATTTGTTTCAAATTGTTCTAAACACACAGAATTGCAATTAACACCAAGTGAAATAATTAAGATATAAATGGTAAAAACGGGTAATAAAATTTTATATATTTAGTTAAATTAAATTCAAATAAAAGAACTTTAGAAAATTAAATAAACAAAAGAAAATAAATAAATAAATACGTACAAAAAATTAAAAATTCACATATAAAGACTTTTTAAAAACTACCCATACAATTAAAAACAAAAAAAAAAGACTGACGGACGGACAGTCAGATACAAAATAAACACAAAAAGCTAAAATGGAATTTTGAAGGTCATTATAGCCAGATTAAAAGCAGCAGCAGCAGCAGCATCATTAATATCATCTTCAGTTTTAGCTCAGCATACATATAACCAAAACTTACTGGCTAACAACTGGTCACACGTTTTTTTATTTGGTGGACTGATGCTATGCTTTTTTTAATGTTTAAATGTTTTTTAGCTGTTAATTTATTTAAAACAGAAACAACATTAATACTAACAATACTTTAAAAAAAAAACTAAGTTAAAATATGTATGTTTGCATATAAAAGATTTACGTTGGTTTAAATTTGAATTTGCTAGATCACCCATAAACATAAGTTTTTTATTTATTGATTAGAATCTGTTGAAGATGTAGAAGAAAAAAACCGCATAAAATTTTCATAAATTTACTAAACATATCATTTAAAATTTTATTTTATGTTTTAAAAACTAAAACAGGTATTTTACGCACTAAAGCATGCCAATAATGATGGGTAAGACGATCGAACGACCAACCAAACAGACCGTTTGTTCTTATCATAATGCCCATTTTTTTCTAATTTATAGTGATCAAATTCAAAGAATATTTAATGCTCACGTAACTTAAGCAACGTTTTAACTTACGCACAAACACTTATCCCTCAAATAGCCATGAAGGTCAACTAAGTTTATAAACCGAACGGTAGCTGGTGTTAATAGTGGGTGTAATGTATTGTTAAATTTTAATCGTGGGTCGTTTGATAAGTTTATTGCAAGTGGGTTGAGTTGTTCGTATTTTATTGACAAATGTTGTATTTACATATATTAATTTAAAGAAAAACAAGTAATAACTCTGTATTTTGTCTGATTTCTATGTTTTCTATCAAAAAATTGATTTTTGAAAGGAAAAGTTCGTTTATCGATTTATATTTAATATTATATTTTATATATTTTATTAATACTATTAATTATGGGTGATCACAAAATAAGCTTTTTTATCGATTTAAATGCGATTACCGATCAGATGATCGAATTTTCGGGGGAAAATATAGGTGATCTTTTAATTTAAGCGCGTTTTAAAGCTTTTACAACCATTATAAAATAATATTGTTTTTATACCCTTCACCTTCGTAAGAAGGGTATTAATGTCGAAGTGCTTTACGTGAGTACCTGCCGTGTTGGCCTATCTTACGGTGGTCTTTTTAAACCACTGGGTGACCACCGCCCCTTTGTGTTTGTTCCACGCAGGTGGCAACTTACGTAAATGGATACCGGTCCAATATACGTGCACTTTGTTCAAGTACTTGAGCTATCTAATCTCTGACCATTGCAGCCCCGTTGCTTAACTTCCGAGATGTAAAACATCACTTCCGTTTACAACCACGCAGATGGGATGGCAACAGCACCTAGAGACGTAACCGGTAGACCAAACTACGAATCCATCAAATAAGCCGAGACTTTGTTCTTACTCACAGTGACACACTGTGGTAATTTAGATATGAACAGAGTTTACTCTGAACATATCTGGACAAGGAAGGAAAATTCAATGGTATCATTTGTATATGATGCTTTTCAGCACACTTCCCATTCATCCGACACACTCATAAGAGAAAAACATACGACACACTTATTCTAGGTAAACGGGTGGGTGAGGCCCGCATCCCGTGCCATATACAATTAACACCAACTCACCGCTTAGTTCAACAGTCACTCCTCTGTAGGGTATCTGTTGTTTCGGCAAATAAATATTGACTTTAGCTTACATCAGTTCTTTAACCGCCACTTACTGTTCCTGCGAATTTGGGTTTAAACCACAGCCACTACGTGGATCCGGAAGGAACCTCAACCAACTGACCAGCCAGGACATAGTCCTGCGGGCAACTGGCCACCTGTAGTACCAGATTATGTGGTTCTCTGGTTAGACCCCATGTTAAATCATACCAGGGACTAGCCGAGGAGTGAAGTGACATCACCAGTTTATAGTCCCGGCAGACTAGAGGTACTGGTAGCACGACTTTACCCCGGGATTGCAATACACCATGATGGGACATGGTACTTTTGTTTAAACTTTGTTCAAAAAAAGTTTAACAATTAAAACGTGTTTAAAGAAACCATGTTGTTTAAGGGATGGGTGTATAACAAACACTAACTAAATATTAAACTTCTTAGTTTTTTTGATCAACACAAAAACTTAATTGTGTTTCTGGTGATAAGACCTTAGAGCAAATAACAACTACAAAAGAAGAAGAAAAAACAATACAAAACCAAATAAAACTAAAAATGATCAAAACTTAACAGCCACAAGTTCGTATGATTTAAATTAACATGTTGTTTTATTAATTTAAATATATACAAACATATATACTTTTTTTTATATGTTTTATGGCTTTTTTCCATTTTAAAATTTTTGGAACTTTTATGTTTTTTATTTATGTTTTGTTCATTTAGTATCTTCTTCGTTTTGCACGCATCTTTTTTATTTTATTTTAAAGTTACTTCTGGTTTTTCGTTGTTTTTTGTTTCTTATTATTAATTTTTTATATATTTCTTATGATTTAGTTTTGTGAATTCTTTAAAGTTTTCTTAAAAATCTAGGTAATCTTCTTTAGTAGTAAAAATTATGCAAATTTGTTTCATTTTTTGGTTTTGCTATAAATTGTAACAAGACATCAACGAAGGCATCATTCAATCTTAGCAACTCTTCAAGTGAAGTACGCACTAGAAACCACAAAAACAAATCAAAATGAAATTCATCATTGTTTTCGCTGCTCTCTTCGCCGTTGCTTTGGCTGCTCCCCGCCCAGAAGATGCCGTCATCTTGAAATCCGAATCTGATGTTGGACCCGAATCCTTCCAATATGCGTAAGTATTGCAATATTTTCAAACTATCACTTAAACGCAATAAAACTGTAACAAATTACATAACTAATTATCTGCTTTTTAACTAATTTACAGTTATGCTACCAGCGATGGTGTTGAAGCTGAAGCTCAAGGTCAATTGAAGAACGTTGGTACTGATGAAGAAGCTATCGTCGTCAAGGGCTCTTTCTCCTTCGTTGGTGATGATGGTCAAACCTACACCGTCAACTATGTTGCTGATGAAAACGGTTTCCAACCCCAAGGTGCTCATTTGCCCGTTGCCCCTGAAGCTTAAGTTGTTTTAACTGTTATTACATTCTACGATAAACAATGCAATTTTCCCCAACATAATCCTCCTGTTAAATCTCAAAAAAAACAAAAATATCCCAATTTGTTAAATTATCACCATGTCCCCACCCCTTTGAAATCCTTCCTTATCCTAGTCCCGTTTGTCAACTGTTAGACGATCTATCATTAACGTTATTTGTTAGCGATAGTTTATCGTTAAAGCAAACAAACAAATTGTTATAAACATTAGGTTAAGTGAAAAAATATAGAAAAAATACGTTAAAAAAAAACAAAAATTTCCAAATTAGTTTTATTTATTGTTTAATATTAGATGATTTAAACTTAAGATTACTTTTAACACCGAATCGGGTTTATCCAAAGCAAAAATGAAAGGAAATGATCTAAAATAATGAGTTCATAATAATTTAATTATATTTGCTTTCTACAATTCTAACAATTAATTAACTGGAAATAAGTAAATAGCTTAAAAAGAAAACGATTTCAGTTAAGTCGACCAACAATTTAGCTTTGAAATTGTGATTTGTCAACAATAAGTTTGGTGAATTCGGTTAAAGATTAACAAAACTATTAAAAATTTCCACAACTTTTGTTAAAACCGTTTTAGTTAACACAAAATTGCCGATAACAAACACAGAATTTTAAAAATTTTAAATTTTTTCCTAATTTAGAAAAACAAATTGAAAAACTTTGTAAAATGTAAAAACGTATTAGCATTATTTTCTTTGACTTGTAGCTCCACATCTTTTGCAACACAATGATGAATTTCTGAAACTTTTCTTTATTCCTTTTAATATAATATATATTATATTTCATGAATACTTAATAAAAACATATCCGTTATAAACCATTTTTTTCAAGTTAACTCATTATCTCTCACATACTATAACGCATGTGTCTTAAGTCTTTTGTTTTCTACACTACATAACGTTTGTCGATAAAGTAAAGCATACTTCTTGGCTGAGCGAATAATATACAAAACAAAATTATTTATAAAAGAAAAATATTAAACTCATTATCAAAAAAGAAATTGTAGTCCGTACACTACAATTTCTTTTTTGATAATGAGAATATTAAGTTAACTTTATTTTACATCTTTTCATTAACAATTTAATTTTACAAAAATTAAATATATGACAACTTAAAACTATTTCCTATGATTTACTTACACTTCAGTAGAATTATTTGGGTTATGCGACTTGTTATGAAAACTTAATTATAACATAACGGAATAGTTAGTTGAAGAACTTGAAGCCGTCTCTATAGCTAAAATACTTTATATACTAAAAAAACAATTTTGTTAAAAACATTTTTCATTCAAAATGTAAGAATAACATATTTTAAGGCTTACCGCAGTTACATTTTGAAGCATTCTAATATCGTATACGATAATAACAATAATTTGACACTGTGTTCAGTTTATTTTGAGTTCTCAACCTAAAAATCAATATTTGAAGGGAAATATGGGTGATCACAAAATAAGCTTGTTTTTCAATTTAAACGCGTTTTAACGAAATTACAGCCGATTTAATGTTTTCGACCAAAAAATCAATTTTTGATGGGAAATATGGGTGATCACAAAATAAGCTTGTTTTTCGATTTAAACGCGTTTTAACGAAGTTACAGCCGATTTTATGTTTTCGACCAAAAAATCGATTTTTGATAGGAAATATGAGTGATCACAAAATAAGCTTGTTTTTCAATTTAAACGCGTTTTAACGAAGTTACAGCAGATTTTATGTTTTCGACCAAAAAATCGATTTTTGATGGGAAATATGGGTGATCACAAAATAAGCTTGTTTTTCAATTTAAACGCGTTTTAACGAAGTTACAGCCGATTTTATGTGGGTGATCACAAAATAAGCTTGTTTTTCAATTTAAACGCGTTTTAACGAAATTGCAGCCGATTTTATTATTTTATGTTTTCGACCAAAAAATCGATTTTTGTTTTCAATTTAAATGTGTTTTAACGAAGTTACAGCCGATTTTATGTTTTCGACCAAAAAATCGATTATTGATGGGAAATATGGGTGATCACAAAATAATCTTGTTTTTCAATTTAAACGCGTTTTAACGAAGTTACAGCCGATTTTATGCTTTCGACTAAAGAATCGATTTTTGATGGGAAATATGGGTGATCACAAAATAAGCTTGTTTTTCGATTTAAACGCGTTTTAACGAAGTTACAGCCGATTTTATGTTTTCGACCAAAAAATCGATTTTTGAAGGGAAATATGGGTGATCACAAAATAAGCTTGTTTTTCGATTTAAACACGTTTTAACGAAGTTACAGCCGATTTTATGTTTTCGACCAAAAAATCGATTTTTGATAGGAAATATGAGTGATCACAAAATAAGCTTGTTTTTCAATTTAAACCCGTTTTAACGAAGTTACAGCCTATTTTATGTTTTCGACCAAAAAATCGATTTTTGATGGGAAATATGGGTGATCACAAAATAAGCTTGTTTTTCAATTTAAACGCGTTTTAACGAAGTTACAGCCGATTTTATGTGGGTGATCACAAAATAAGCTTGTTTTTCAATTTAAACGCGTTTTATCGATTATTGATGGGAAATATGGGTGATCACAAAATAATCTTGTTTTTCAATTTAAACGCGTTTTACGAAGTTACAGCCGATTTTATGCTTTCGACTAAAGAATCGATTTTTGATGGGAAATATGGGTGATCACAAAATAAGCTTGTTTTTCAATTTAAACGCGTTTTAACGAAGTTACAGCCGATTTTATGCTTTCGACTAAAGAATCGATTTTTGATGGGAAATATGGGTGATCACAAAATAAGCTTGTTTTTCAATTTAAACGCCTTTTAACGGCGTTACAGCCGATTTTATGTTTTCGACTAAAGAATCGATTTTTGATGGGAAATATGGGTGATCACAAAATAAGCTTGTTTTTCGATTTAAACGCGTTTTAACGAAGTTACAGCCGATTTTATGTTTTCGGCTAAAGAATCGATTTTTGAAGGGAAATATGGGTGATCACAAAATAAGCTTGTTTTTCAATTTAAACGCGTTTTAACGAAGTTACAGCCGATTTTATGTGGGTGATCACAAAATAAGCTTGTTTTTCAATTTAAACGCGTTTTAACGAAATTACAGCCGATTTTATTATTTTATGTTTTCGACCAAAAAATCGATTTTTGAAAGGAAATATGGGTGATCACAAAATACGCCTGTTTTTTCATTTAAACGCGTTTTAACGAAGTTACAGCCGATTTTATGTTCTCGACTAAAGATCTGATTTTTGAAGGGAAATATGGGTGATCACAAAATAAGCTTGTTTTTTAATTTAAACGCGTTTTAACGAAGTTACAGCCGATTTTATGTTTTCGACCAAAAAATCGATTTTTGATGGGAAATATGGGACCAAAAAATCGATTTTTGGAGGGAAATATGGGTGATCACAAAATAAGCATGTTTTTCAATTTAAACGCGTTTTAACGAAGTTACAGTTATGTTTTCGACCAAAAAATCGTTTTTTGCTGGGAAATAAGGGACCAAAAAATCGATTTTTGAAGGGAAATATTGGTGATCACAAAATAAGCTTGTTTTTTAATTTAAACGCGTTTTATTGAAGTTACAGCCGATTTTATGTTTTCGACTAAAGAATCGATTTTCGATGGGAAATATGGGTGATCACAAAATAAGCTTGTTTTTCAATTTAAACGCGTTTTAACGAAGTTACAGCCGATTTTATGTTTTCGACTAAAGAATCGATTTTTGATGGGAAATATGGGTGATCACAAAATAAGCTTGTTTTTAAATTTAAACGCGTTTTAACGAAATTACAGCCGATTTAATGTTTTCGACCAAAAAATCGATTTTTGATGGGAAAAAATAGGTGATCACAAAATAAGTTTGTTTTTCAATTTAAACGCGTTTTAACAGACGATTTTATATTTTCGACCAAAAAATCGATTTTTGATGGGAAATATGGGTGATCACAAAATAAGCTTGTTTTTTAATTTAAACGCGTTTTAACGAAGTTACAGCCGATTTTATGTTTTCGACCAAAAAATCGATTATTGATGGGAAATATGGGTGATCACAAAATAAGCTTGTTTTTCAATTTAAACGCGTTTTAACGAAGTTACAGCCGATTTTATGTTTTCGACTAAAAAATTAAATTTTTGAAGGGAAATATTGGTGATCACAAAATAAGCTTGTTTTTCAATTTAAACGCGTTTTAACGAAGTTACAGCCGATTTTATGTTTTCGACCAAAAAATCGATTTTTGAAGGGAAATATGGGTGATCACAAAATAAGCTTGTTTTTCAATTTAAACGCGTTTTAACGAAGTTACAGCCGATTTTATGTTTTCGACCAAAAAATCGATTTTTAAAGTGAAATATAGGTGATCACAAAATAAGCTTGTTATTCAATTTAATCGCGTTTTAACGAAGTTACAGCCGATTTTATGTTTTCGACTAAAGAATCGATTTTTGATGGGAAATATGGGTGATCACAAAATAAGCTTGTTTTTCGATTTAAACGCGTTTTAACGAAGTTACAGCCGATTTTATGTTTTCGACCAAAAAATCGATTTTTGAAGGGAAATATGGGTGATCACAAAATAAGCTTGTTTTTCAATTTAAACGCGTTTTAACGAAGTTACAGCCGATTTTATGTTTTCGACCAAAAAATCGATTTTTGATGGGAAATATGGGTGATCACAAAATAAGCTTGTTTTTCAAATTAAACGCGTTTTAACGAAGTTACAGGCGATTTTATGTTTTCGACCAAAAAAATCGATTTTTGATGGGAAATATGGGACCAAAAAATCGATTTTTGAAGGGAAATATGGGTGATCACAAAATAAGCTTGTTTTTCAATTTAAACGCGTTTTAACGAAGTTACAGCCGATTTTATGTTTTCGACCAAAAAATCGATTTTTGATGGGAAATATGGGTGATCACAAAATAAGCTTGTTTTTCAAATTAAACGCGTTTTAACGAAGTTACTGGCGATTTTATGTTTTCGACCAAAAAAATCGATTTTTGATGGGAAATATGGGACCAAAAAATCGATTTTTGATGGGAAATATGGGTG